AAGGTGGAGGCAGGGCCAGGGGCTCTGTGGCTGTGCTGGGCCAGAGCCTGCCTGGAGACCAGCTCATTCCCCATGCTGCTGCCCCCAGCCTTTAGGAGGACAATGGAAGCCCCAGCCTGTACCTTTCATGAGTGTGGCCTCAGCTCACCTCCACAACCTTGCCTCACACCGCTCCCCACACTCCCACACTCCAGCCACCTGGCCCCTTTGCTGCTCCCACCTCAGGACATTTGCACCTACAGTTCCCTCTGCCTGGGTCATTCTTCCCGGGTTTCCTGGGCTGGGTCTTTCTTCACATGAGATCTCAAGGCAGCAGTCACCTCCTTGAGAGCACTCTCCCTGCTCCTGCTGAAATAGCCCCCCTTCCCCTCCTGCCATCTCCATCCTGCACCATCCAGTAGAGAGAGAACACAAGCACAGATGCAATTTTAAATTTCCTAGTGGCCGGGTTAAAAAAAAAGTTTTTAAAAAGGTGGAATTAATTTTAATAATATATTTTATTTAACCCAAAACATTATCATTTTAACATGTAATCAATATAGAAATTATGAAGGAGCTATTTTATATATTTTTTTGCACTAAGTCTTGTAAATCCAGTGCTTTTTTACACTCACGTCTCAATCTGGACGTTGCAGGGGCCCCACGTCCACGTGTGGTCAGCGGCTGCTGAACTGGACTGCACAGCTCCATGCTACCATCCTCTTACTTTCTTCCCAGCACGAGGCACCATCTAGAATACCCCATGTATTTGTCGGGCTATTATCTGAATCTTGCACTGCAGTACGTGCTCTGTCTTGCTCCTCACAACGCCATGCAGGAGGAGCTCTGCAAATGCTTGGGAGCGAGCAAAGGAAGGCTGCGTGCGTCTGGTTCCCCTCGCCTCAACCCCACCCGGGGGGCTCACGGCCCCCAGGTCACAAACCAGCACGTGGAGGTCCACTCTCTACCGACCGGGGTCTGAACCCACTCCCGGTGTCCTGTGTCCCCTCTGGTCATCCCTGACCCTGGCCTGGAGGTGGGGGAGGGGCTCCCAGGGTCCTTGAGGCCCCAGCACCCCCATCACCAGGCCATCTTCAGTTCAGCTCCGGGATCCCCCAGCCACTTTCTCATCGAATTGGATTCCCAGCTCTTCCTTCCTCAAATCCAGGCTGCTGCTGAGACTGTTTATAGACCTGCACAGCCTGCATCCCTGGAGGCTGTCGGAGCATAGTGCACATCTGGAGAAATCATTATGGTCCCCCCTCCAGGCCAGATGTCAGCTGGCCGCTCGTCCTGCCCCGCCCTGCCCAGCCCAGCTGGCCCCCAGCCCCTGGCCTGCCACAGAGGCCTCCCATTGGCCATTGTTCCTGGCCGATGGCCCTAGAGCCCTGACAGCCTTTCTGGTTGGCCTGTCCAGGCTACTTGAGCTTCCTCAAAGATGGCTGCCATCATGGGTTACTCACGGCTGGTATCGGGTCAAGGCCCAACAGGTTCCCACAGCCCCTGCCAGGCCTCGATGCACCCCATCCAGGGCCATTAGGGAGCCCTCTCCTACAGCCCTGGTCCCCCGAAAGCAGCACCACCAAGGGCTTTGGGAGTCTCTCAGGCACATCCTTTTGACCAGGCTCCCTAGTGACCCTTAAGGTCATTCACAGCAATGACTCACCAAGGAGACACACACACTGCCCAAAGTGGCCTCAGCGTCTCCATCTGTAAAATGGGAACAGAAGCCCTCACCCAGCAGGGTGTGAATGGACATAAACCCACTTTGAGGACTGCAAAGGGAGGGGCCCTTGTTAACACACTGGGCCAAGGAGCAGAGCTGTGGGAGCTGGGAAAATGGGGGCGGGGGAACTGGGGAGGCTCTGTCCTGCCCCCACATCCCAGCCCCACCTCTGCAGGGCAGTGGTGATGAATACCAGCCCGGCCAGTGCCCAGCTCCGTGAGCCTGGGCAGTTCCATCGCCCCTTTGGGCCTCAGTTGCTGCATCTGTAACATGGGAGATGAAACGGGATGGCGTAACAATGCCCCCTCCCAGGGGGCTCATGAGAACTAGGGGGCTAAGGCCTGGCGCGAGGCGGGCTCTCGGTAGACGTGGGTTCCACCCTCCTTCTGGGGGAGCCCCTGTCTGGGTAGGGCTCCATCTGCTGCCCGAGGCTCCCGGCCACAGAGGGAGAAGCACTGGCCTCAGCTGCCCGGCGTGGCGTCTCAGTGGCCTGGCCCTCCCGGAGCCCCACCCTCGTGTCCCCTCAGCCTTGCTTCTGTCCTGGGCTGAGCACACAGGCACTGCTCACTGCACCCTTGGAGACCTCAGATGGAGAAACTGAGGCCCAGAGAGGGGCCCGGGCTCTCTGTCTGTCCGAGGCAGATGGGCCTGCTTTGGTTTGCGGGGCCTGGAGGGAAAGGGGCGGAGCAGGAGGGCAGGACCCCGCAGGGTCCCCGCAGGAGGGAGGCCAGGCCGACATTGAGTGTCCCTCAGGCCACTGCCGGCCCGCCCATGCCAGCGAGAGGGGCGGCATCGGAACTGGCAGCCCCGGCTCGTTGTCGGCTCCAGTAAAACCTTATCAGCCCCCAAATGCCCCCAAGTGAGCAGATTCTCTGGGCGATAAGAGACTCCAGGGCGGGAAGCATGAGACCCAGACAATGGCCAGGCACTGGGTGGGCGGCTGGGTCAGGAACAATGCCGGGCCAAATTGGGGAGGGGGAGGGGTTGCCTGGCAGAGGAGGCCAGGAAGGGCTGGGCCCAGCCAGGCAGCAGAGGTGGGGTAGAGAGCCGTCTTCCATCCCCATCCTGGCTGTTCACTCGTCCACGGCTCTTTGCTCCTCAGGGCCTTTGCACATGCTGTTCCTTTTGCTGGCAACACTCTTCCCCCCACCCCTTCTGGCTAGGCCCTCGTTTTCTGGGCTCAGCTTGAATGTCACCTCCTCCGGGAAGTCTCCCCTGACTGCAGTATCAGGCCAGGTCCCTCCTGTCCACAATTGTCATGCCCCATACCTTCCCTTCAGAGCTTTTATCATAATGATAATTCAATGGTGTGATGCTGAATTTGTCGTTTAACATCTGTCCCCGTCCCTCAGACACTGGGAGCTCTAGGAGGGCAAGGACTGTGTCTGTCTCTCCGTCTGTCTGTCTTGTGAACCACAGCTCAGGGCCTGCCACATGGTAGGCAGGATAATTGCTGAGTAAGTGAACAGGCAGCCAGTTGCCTTCGCCATCAGCGACGTGGGGATTGTACCCCACCCGGCCCAGGAATGAGTGACAGCCCCCAGCGCAGCACAGAGCGCACAGTCGGTCAGCTGGTCAGCGACAGCGAGTACAGCCAAGAGACCATCCCTGGGTCATCCCATGCCTCCCTTCCCTGAGCCTGGGGGCCTCCGTCTGCCCCGAGTGGCAGGGTCATTGCATTTTCTTGAGCACCTACTGTGTGCCAGGAGCTGCGCGGGTGCCCGCTGGCAGGTTGGAGGAGGCGGAGAGGAGAGGCCCCCACGCATCGGGCTCTGCCCCGCCTCCTCCTCCACAGCCCTCTGAGGGTCCGAGGCGGCTCCCGCATGCAGTAGGGCCTCAGTGAACGGCTTGGATTGAACGTGACCTTGGTCCTAAGGGAAGAGTGCTATTCCGAGGGAGAGCTCAGGAAGGCGTGAGGAGAGACTGAACCAAGCTTTGAGAGAACGGGACTCTACGGGGCAGGTGGTGGCTGCGACAGCTGTCAGAGGATTTGGAAGGGACAGGAGAGGAAGCCTCAGGGAGTGGGGGACAGTGCCATCCCCTCCCCAGAGCCCTGGGGTCCTTGTGAACCCCGGACCACCCTCCCCAGCCCCGGGCAGCTCCAGCCTTTAACAGGCCTCACGGCCAAGGTCCTCAAAGGGGCAGCGGAAGCCAGAGCTCGGTGCCCTCTGCTGCTGCTTGTGCTGGCTCCCAGCAAGCCCCTCACCTCCCGGGCCTCAGTGTCCCCATCTGTGCAATGGTGCCACGGCGCTTTCAAACTGCCCTTGCTCGCCCTGCTGACCTGGAGGGCACACTCACGCCACGGCCCTGGCAGGGGGAAAAGAGTGCCCGCTGTGTCCCAAGGCCACCACGCACCCCACCAGGGCAGAGCTGGCCTGAGGCTGTGTGTCCAGGGCTGGCGCCGCCCCGCCCGGCACAAGCTGCCCGTGCCTCCTTGCCAAGTGGGGGCTGAGAATTTCTGTGCTGACCTCACCATCACCAAGTGGTTCCAGATGTGGGCTGGGGGCAGGGTGGGGGGGTCCTAGGAATGTTCTGGAGCCTGAGGGGGCTCTGAAGGCAGCCTGGCCCAGCCAGAGACCACCGACAGCCAGGGCCTGGCACCCGGAATCTCCCACCAGTGGGCCAGGCTTGGGGCTCGCACTGCGGTGGGGTGCTGAAAAGAGCACTGGACTGGGAGTCCAGAGGCTGCACTCCCGTCCTGATGCCACCATCCCTCTTCGTGGCTCTGGGGGTGATTTCTTCTGTCTGAACCTCAGTTTCCTCATCGCGCAAGTTGGCCCATGATGCCTGACTCCAGGAAGCCCATGAAAGCTGGGCTGGCCTCCCCAAAAGATGAAGCAGTCCTGGTCAAGTTGTCCCAGGGGACTTGTGCCCGACACCCCTGGGGCCACTGAGGTGTATCAGACCCTCCCTGCCTGACATCAGCACCCCGGTGGCCGGGCCTGCCTCCAGCACAGCCCTGCCTCCCAGTGCTGGGCCCAGCCACCCTGCTCTTGCTGTTCTCTTGTCCCAAAGGCACCCTTCCCTGCCACCTCCTAACTCCTACTCATTCTTCAAGACCTGCTTTAGGTGCCTCCTCCTCCAGGAAGCTGCCCCTGATAACCCCCTATCCTGGCCGGGTGAAGCGTTCCATGTCTAGGGGGCAGACTGCTGGGTTCAAATCTCGGCTTTGTTACTCCCTAGCTGTGTGACTTTGGGCAAGTCGCTTGACTTCTCTGTGCCCTGCTATCCTTCTCCGTGAAACGGTGATCACAGTGCCACCCTCCCGGTGTTGTCAGGTGCAGTACACGTGACGATGCACGTGGAGAGCTTAGCTGAGTGCCTGGCACAGAGTGAGCCCTGGGGAGACAGTGGTTAGTACCGTGCCATGGGCAGGATTTATCTACCAGGCATCTCTGAGCACCAGCCCTGTGCCGGGCGCCGCCTGGCGATGGGAGCCCCGGGGCTGAGGATGGGCTGTGGAGCCCAGACGGCCATCCTGGTGAAGATCCTGAGCCGAGCTGGGTGGAGATCCCGCTGCCTCCTCGGGAGCCAGTGAGAGTCAACAGCCAGGGGCAAAACCGCACATCCGGGAGGGGAGGAGGGCACGCCTGGCCCAGCAGGTCTGTGTGCTCCTGGGCCCCGAGCCACAGCGCCCGCCCCGGCTGGCCAGCAACTCAGGGCGGGGGCACCACCCGCTGTGGCCCGGCTCCTGAGGCCCAGCTGGGGTCTCACCTGGACTCCATGCCGTCGGGGTGGGCCTGCAGGGCTAGCTGGCCACATGGGGCCTCGGCGTCCCTCTGGCCGTCCCCCAGCCCCGTTCGGGCCTTCTGCGCCCTTGGCCGTCCTGGTCACTGAGAGCTCCAGCGGCTCCTTGCCCCCACCCTCGTGGGAGAGGAGCCAGCGCCACAGGCCTGGCCAGGTGTGTGCTCCCGCCAGTACAGGCTACACCTTGCTGGCCGAGGCCCAGAGCCTGCTCCATCCTGGGCGGGGCTTCCTGAGCTCTCCAGGCTGGTGTGGAAGGGCCAGGCTCACACCCTGCCCCCTCGAGGTCCTCTGGCCTCCCTGAAACCAACCCCCGTTGCCCAGCTGGGGAGGCTGAGGCTCAGAGAGGGACGGGCCTGCCCGAATCAGGGGTCCCTCAGGCCTCCCCAACCTAGGCAGAGGCACCCAGGCCTCCCGTCCAGAGTCTGGGGCCAGGCCCCACCCACAGGCCCCTGAGGCCCTGCTGGGGCTGCAGGCAGCTGACTCCCGCGGTCCGTTCCCGGTGCCCCTGCTGACCCCAAAGTGAGGAGACAATAGCCCAGGTTCCTGTGTTCAGCAAGGGCTGTGGCCGCCCAGGGCCACCCTCCCCCGCCGAGGGGATAGGCATGGGGAGCAGAGGTCAGCCTTGCGGAGCAGGACTGCACTGGCCAGCACTGTACCCAGAGTCCAGGCTCCGTGTCCCCACCCGGAAGCTGACGCCAGGACTGCCCAGTCCCAGCACCCCCTGGACAGGGGACAGGACAGGGAGGAGGGAGGCAGGACTGGGCTCCACCCTCCTGCTGGGCCACTGTGGTAGGGGCTCCCCTCTTTGTGCTGCTTGCGGGGAAGTAGGTGCCCGGGGTCTGCAGCCTGTGGCCAGGACGGCCCTGCCAGGCCATGGAGCGCAGGGCAGGCCAGGTGTCTGAGCCAGGGCAGCACAGCAGGCGGACTCATCCCGCAGCACCTCCACTGCCCAGCACTGCCCAGCACTGCCCCCTGCAGGCCCCGCCAGCCCTGCTCGTGCCCTGCAGGGGAGGACAGCACCGAGGGCCCGGCCTCTGCACTGCTGCCCACCAGTGGGCAGTCAGGGCCATCTCCGTGGCCCCTCTCGGCCTTAGCACCCCCCCAAAACTGAATAGGCACACGCCAGCCACCAGCACACAGGCAGAGGCCACTGGGACCCACAGGGGTCCAGGGGAAGGCAGGGGCCTGAGGGGGGCGAGGGGTCGCATGGGGCTTGCAATCCTGGCCAATCACCCCTCAGGGCCTGGGGGCATCTGGGGGCCTGGGGGGCCAGAGAAGTGCCCGTTCTCCTGAGACACCAGCAGGGAAACAGCAGGGGACACCCAGAGCCAGAGTGTGGCACTCGCACACAACTTGCACACGCATGGACTCATGTGTCCACACACACTCACTTGCATTTACACAGCCACATGGTCCCAGGTTCACCACACGCTCACACTCACTTGCACCCTTACGTGCACACTCACCGCACAGTGCAGCCCTAGTGCTCCGTGCGCCCAGCCTGGCTCCTCTGCCGGCCGGCTCCCCAGACCGTCAAGCCAGGAGGCCCTGAGAGCCTGGCGGGCCTGCCCCTCCGCCCTTCCAGATCCGTGAGGGGCCCCGCCCAACCCCTTCCTGGCCCAGCTGCGAGGGACTGAGGCACCAGGCCAGGGGGGCGTTGGGCTGTGGGAAAGGCCCTCCCCCAGCCAGTCCCAGCTGCCAGAGCCCTGGAATGCGCTGACCACAGCGGCCAGCCTAATCCCCACTCGGTGCCCCGTGGGGCCAGTGGGGCTGGCCGGAGCAGGGCAGCAAGGGAGGCTGGGCCAGGCCGGGCCGGGCTGGGGGACACCGGCTGGAGGCCCCAGGTGATCAGAGTGGACCTCTGAAGGTCAGGGCAGGTAGGCCTGCCTCCCCTCCCTTGCCTCACCTGACCAGACAGGAGGGTTTGGGTCACTGGGACCCCAGCTGAAGGGGCTGGGGGGCCGAGTGGCTGCGTCCCTCCTTCCAGAATGGGAGAGAAGCTCCTCCCCTAGGTGTCTGAAGGAGCCTGTGTGCGAGGGGAAGTTGAGAACCATACCAGCCCCTGAGGAATTGGATGGGCCCGGGGGGCACCCTGTCCCTGATGCTCGAATGGAGGACCTGCTGAGGGGGAGGCCAAGGGTGGAGGGAGGAGTGGGGGCAGGGAGGGCAGAGTGACGGGTCAGGCCATCGCGGGGTGGGGCTCCGCGCCCCCGCCCAGCACACCCGCCTATATCCTGGGCTCGCTCCACCACAACAGAAGCTGGAGGGATGGCGCTGCAGGTGGGTGGACTCTGTTCTCGTCCCCACACAGCTGTCCTCTCCTCGTGCCCAGGCAGAGGGCACGGGGTGAAGGACTGCCAGCCTATCACGGAGGGAACGCTGCAGAGGGAGTGCTGTGAGCACACACTGGGGGTGGCGCGAGCTGGTGGGGCCTCCTGGACAAGTGGGGTGCGCACGGGGAGGAGGCCACGGATGCAGAGGCTTCTGTCCCCTTCTTTTGCCTGCAGTTTGAAGCCTTCTGTGCTGCGGGCCTGGTCCCGGGCTGGAACCTGCTGGTCCAGGGACACTCTGACTCTGGAGAGGACAAGTAAGGGACACCGCCCTCCCCAGGGGTCCCCTCCTTGGCCTGGGGAGGGGGTCATGACTGCCGTCTGCTGCTCTCACTATCCCCCCGATGACCTCCCAGGTTTGAGATCAACTTCTTGTCTGAGAAGGGGGACATTGTCTTCCACATCAAGCCCCGGTTCTCCAGCGCCACCATGGTGGGCAACGCCTTCCAGGGCGGCCGCTGGGGCCAGGAGGAGGTGTCCAGCGTCTTCCCACTTGTGCTGGGGGAGCCCTTTGAGGTGATGGGAGCAGAGGCGAGGCCCGTGGAGAGGGGAGGCCCATGGGGGACAGGGCAGGCCTGGGGGTTGGGTGCCTATGGAAGCATCGGGGCCGCCCTGCTGCTGTATGCAAAGGCTGCTGCGAGGCAGCTGGGCTTCCTGTGTCCCTGGCTTCCAGGGGCACCGCTGTCCCCTCCCAGGGCCCATGGGGGTGGGGCTTGTTGGATGGTCAGAGGTAAATAGGCCAGAGCAGAGCCTCACTGCTGGGTCGGGGGTGTGCGACGGGGTGCCCACCACCCTGGCTGCCTCCGAGGAGAGAGGAGCTCAGAGCTCCCATCTGGGGTGGGCCTGCGTGATGGGGGGCTCCACGTGGTGGGGGGACCCCTGGGCCCACCCAGCCGTGCTTCTGGGACTCCAAGAGCACATCGGAGCAAGACAGGGGACCAGGGCCTGGCTCCATGGCAGGGCCGCAGGTCACTGGCCTCTGGCTCCCAGATGGAGGTGAGCTCGGACGCGGAGCACTTCCACGTCCACGCCCAGGAGCACAAGGTGCTGCAGTTCGCGCACCGCCACAGGCCGCTGGCGGCCATCACCCGCGTGCAGGTGCTGAGCGACCACCGCCTGGCCCAGGTGGAGCTGGCCAGGAGGAGCCTGAGCTGGGGGTAACGTTCCTGCCCCTGCCGCCTAGCCCCGCCCGCCCCCCCACAGCAGCCGGGACGTTGCTGTGCATCCTCATCCCCAGGACCCCGTCAGCCTGGGAGGGGGGCTGTCGGCTTGGTCCCTCCGCCCAGCTCCTCTGCCACCCGGCCACTGGGAGCAGGTTCCGCTGTCCACACCCGCCCCCGAGTCTGTGCCACGGGTGGGACTGGAGCTGAGGCTGGCGTCTCGGATGCTTGCAGGGAGGGGGGCTACTGAGCTGTGCCCGGAGTCCCAGGAGCGAGCCTCGGCCATCCCACGTCCAGTGGAGCCCACCCTGGGGAAGCTGCAGGGAGAGGTCTGTGGTTCTGGGGCCCCCCGCTCCAGCTCCACTTTCAATAAAGTCTGAGCAGGCTGCAGGACTTGGCTGCTGTGAGCGGCGGTGGGGTGGGGCTGAGGTGGACACAGGCTTGTGGGGAGCCCCCTCCATGGGTCAGAAGATCCCAGCTGGTCCCCGCCCAGAACCACTGGGCTCGCACCCCTCCGGCTCAGCCCTCAGGGGCGCATCCTGCCCAGTCCAAGAGAGTCTGCTGGGAGGTCCCGAAGCTTCCTTCTCCTCCTACTTCTGTTCGAGTGGAGGGAAGGGGTCTTTCCTGTTTCTCCTCTTCCCACCTGGAAGTGAGACGTGCTGCTGTCCCTGCCCCCTCCTGTGGGGGGGTGGAGGGAGGGCGGGAGGGAGCTCTGGAGGGCCATGTGGGGGAAGGGAGCACGGCTGGGGGTCATTCAGCCCTGGTTTCAGACCCCAGCTCATCTATCACATCTCTCTGTTATCTGTGTACCTATCTGTCATAACTATCAATCTATTCTTTATCTATCAATCATCTGTCTACTATCATTATCTATCATCTATCAATCTATTTCTATCGACCTATCTATCATGTATCAATCTAGCATCTGTCTACCATCTGTCCATCTATCTTAATTAAACTGGAGCTGTGCAGCTCTGGATGAGGCTGACCAGGTCTGCGACCTTTACAAGTGAGTTATTTAAAAACGAGCAGCAGGTCAGGACAGCACAGACAGGAGGGCGCGGTGGTCAAGGCCCCGGACCCTGGAATCTGCTGCTTGGTCTGAGTCCCAGCCCTGCTGCCCTACGTGTGACCTTGGGTACGTTCCTGAGCTTCTGGGGACACTTGGAGCCTCACAGGAATGGTGCAGCTCAAACGAGCTGATTCAGGCAAAGCACTAGAGCGCTGGCTGGCACTTGTCATGATGTCGCCTGCCGTGGGATTCTAGGCACTACACGGATCTGCCGCAAACGTCTTGCCCTCTAAGGTTTTACAGATGGGGAAATTGAGGCTGGGGGCAGGGAAGGAGTGGGCAGCAGGGTGGGGCCCGGAGAGGGGAGGGCCCAGCGCCCCCGCTGCCCTGCAGAGCTGAGGAGCCATCTCTGGGCTGAGCGGGACAGAGGGGAGACGCCGGCACCCCCGCCCCCAGGTGAGACAATGGTGGCCCCAGACTCCAACAGTGCAGCTTCCTTCCTGTCTCCGCTCACTTCCCTGCCTGTCCCGGCCCAGCTGGTCCAAGAGCCCCTCCCCGCCCCTCCTGCGGGAGGCCTGGCTTTTGTGTCCACTGGGAGGGGCCGGGGAGCCCTCGGGTGGCGGGCAAGGGGTTAGCCCACACAGCGGGGACCCCGGCCTGGCTCTGTGATGAAACCAGGCTGCTCCTACCCCTGGGGGCTCTAAGCCTCCTGATGGGGGCGTCCCTGCTCATGGTGCCAGGGCCCTGCTTTGTGACCTGAGCTGGCTACTCACCCCCTCTGGGCCTGTTTCCCTGTAGACAAAAGGCGCCCCTCCAGGTGACGGGCTGCCTCTCCAGTAGCAGTGCAATGCAAGGTGGGAGGTGAAGTACAAGAGGACGCCAGGCTTTCTTTTCTTGTGGGGGGTGGGGAGGCTGGGGGTGGGGAGTCTGGCCTCTAGCCAAGGGCCCAGAACTTGGCAAGGTGTGGAAGGCAACACCCATTTTACAACGTGAACTGGGCTCAGAGAGGTTAAGTGACTTGCCTAGGGTTGCTCAGCAAATGAGGGATGGAGCCAAAAGGTCCGGGTCTGACAGATTTCACGTGCGTGCTCGCACATATACACGCAGGCACACACGGGCCCACACACGCACACTCCATACCTCTACTGTTGGCCTTGAGCTGAGTCAGCTTCGAATCAGCCCTTCTGTCCACTCCAGGTTACAAGCTGCCATGGGGCAAATCAGGCTGCCGGGGCCCCAGACCCACTCCATCCTTGGGCCTCAGTCTCCCCATCTATGAAATGGGGCGCAGGGGGCTGTGATCTCAGAGCGTCCTGCTGCAAGAGTTGCAGCCGTATTGTAACCCTTCTGTGACTCCTACCACCCTCAGCACACAGTGCAGTGCCTGTCTGGCCTGTCTGCAACCGCGCCCCAGCTCAGCGCTGCAGCCCCGTGGCCAGAAATGCTGGCTGCTCCTTCAGCTCAGATGACACCTCCTCTGGGAAGCCGTCCCTGACCTCCAGCTGGGCTCTGACGTCCTCTGCTTTCCTCCAGCCCCCAACCCCCATTACACTGCCTCTTCTGGACGTCAGGACCGGGTCTTACCCCAGCCCCCAGCTCAGCTGCCCTAGGGCATGTCTAGCTCTGGAAATGTTTGCTGAATGACTAAGCGAATAAATGAATGATTGACTTGGGGAAAATCACTTAGAGCCTTGAACAAGCTAGAGACACCCCCTCCCAATAGAGGCCGTGGAACCATTGAGGGGTCTACTGTAGCCTCCTGCTCCCTGGATAACCGGGTCCCTGCACTTGAGACATGAGAACAGACCCAACCCCTCCCACCGCGGCCCAAAGGCCCTGCATCTTGGCTTCATCTCTCCCCTCGCTCATCCTCCTCCTTTCCAGTCCTGGAGCACACTGAGCCATCCCTGCCTCAGGGCCTTGGCACCGGCACCTCCCTGTACACTCTTTCCCAGCACTCAGGCTGGCCGGCTCTTCTCATGGTTCAGGCCTCTCTCCTAGCTGCTGCCTCCTCAGAAAGACCGCCCGCATCCCCAGCCATGGTCTAGTCTCTGTCACCATTGCATTCGTCCCCTTTATCCCAAGTAGCAAGTTATGGCTCATGGATTCTCCTGCTTACAGGCTGGCTGGCTCTCTCCCCCACTGGAGTCAGCTCCCGGACATGGGCCAGCTGGCCTGTGTGCTCACCACTGGATTCCCATACCTGGAACAGGGCCTGGCACAGCACAGGCACCGATATCTGTTAAATTAATGAGTAAATGCAACCAGACCCTGCTTGAACCCTTCTAGGGCCAGGCACCTCACCACCTCCCATAGCCCATTTCCCTGCTGACTGGAAGCAAATTCCAGAGTCGACTTCAATCTGCTCCTCCCCCCATGCATTCCCGTCCCTCTCCTGTGCCATAACAAGGGCCCTTTGGAAGGAGCCCACATCTTCCTCCAGAGACCCAGAGGCCTCAGCAGGGTGCTGTGCTCCAGCTGAAGGAGCCGTACGAGGTCAACCGGGGCAGCCCCCTGCTCCTGGCAAGCTAAGCCAAATCTCTCAGACTTGTCTTCCCTCAGTTCTCCGTCTGGTGTTGGTGGGAGAGGGCAGATCCATTGGGCTGGGACTGCCTGGGGAAACACAGCTGTCTTGGCAAAGAGGCTGCAGCCCTTGGAGGGTTATGTCTACAGGCTGCCAACACCACTCTCTTCGGGGAGAGAGTTCAAATGCCCATGGGGCCACATGACTAAATGAGGCAGGTGGTGCAGGCAATAGGGACTGGTGGGGTCTTGTGGCTAACAGGACAGCACATACCGCCATCATTCTCAGGTCCCTCCAACTATGTACAGGGAAATGTGGGTTCAAAGTGGGCAGATCTTCTCATTTAAAAAAAAAAATCTGACGTTATATTTTTTTGTCCAATATCTCTGTTTTTAGATACTGGCCACTCTGATAAGACCTAAACCAGGTCTCTCTAAGCAAGCTGCCCCAGGGGCGACTACTTTGAGACCTCTGCTCCATAACCAACTTTTGCCCTGTTTTGGCCTCTGCTCTGTCCACTCCTCCCCACCAGGACAGAGGTTACTGGTCATCCCAGGGTGGGAGGTGCCTTCCTGGCCCCCATATTCCAGCCCCTTCCTAAAGCCTCTTGGGCCCGTGAGGAATAGACCAACCAGCAGAGGGCGATCCAGACACGGGTTTTCCACAACCCCAACTTCAGGTTGCAAAGACCCACTTCCAGCACCCGGACAGGGTGGGGTCTGCACACCTGGGCCCTAGAGTTTTGTCCCCACAGAATGACAGCCTGGGCCCAAGGCCGAGGCTGAGACAGGGAGAATCAGGAAGGGCCAGGCCCTACCTGTCTTATTTACTGCAGAACCCAGGGCCTGACACTGGCCCGAAGGATGGAATGAATAAACGCCATGTGGACTTGAGGAAATTACAACTTCTCCGAGCCTCAGTTTCCTATTCTGTAAAATGGGGTGGCTGTGAGGGGTGGATAGCGCCCGGCGAGTGCAGCAGGATGCCGTCCACCCAGACGGCACTGGGTCAGGCCACGGCCGCTCCATGCCAGGCCCTGAGGGATGTCTCCAGCCTGGCCTGGCACAGCTGAGGTCCCCACACCAGGGCCCAGCCAGGATTCCTAAGCCTCGGCTCACGGCTTCCTGCTTCAGGTTGAGTAACGGCTGCCACGGTTCCTCGATGGCCACCACGCCTGGGGGCTGCAGAGGGAGGCCGCCACTGAGCTCTGACCAGGTCTCAGCGTGACCCAGGAGGGCCGGGGCCACCACAGCAATGTGGTGGGGGGCTGCCATGACGCCTCCTCTCTGTGAGGTTCCTCTGCTTAGGGCAGAAGGTGGGCTTGAGTGGCAAACCTGTCACCCCCTTGGGCCCCCAAGGCAGCTCCCACAAGAGGGGAAGTGACTCCCGGGTCCCAGTGGTGTGAGTGCTGCCTGTCACGGGGGGCCCTGCAGGCATGCCCGGCCAGAGTCCCACGCAGGGAATCGCCTCCAGCTTGGAGGTCCCACAGGGATGCTTGCTGCGGCAGTGGGGGTGGCGAGGCCCCTACATCATTGGAACATAAAGAACAGATGTGCAGACGCTTGACCCTCCACCGACCATCCCTGGAGGGATTCAGAAAACCCGGTACAGGGGCTGCCTCTGAGCAGGCCACCAGGACCTGGGGGCTGTGGTGGCTGGAGTGTCCTTCTTAAATTTGCATTTTTAATTCACCCCCAACATTTTATTATGAAAAATTCAAACACACGGAAAAGTTGAACCGATGTTCAGTGAACACCCGTATACCCACTGCCTGGATTCCACAAAGAACGTTTGCTCCCCTATCACGGATTGTCCATCCTGGGTTTTGTCTCAGAGTAAGCGTGGACACCGGCACG